TTATGTATCAGTTGACTTTTCATCAGTTGATAAAAAATTTAACTATCAATCTTTTGATCTTGAGAAATAATTTGAGTTATGAAATTAGGTAAACGTGTTGTGTTCGGCTCCTTGAGATTATGTTTTAAACCATTAGATTATGTATTAGGTCAAAAGTCAATGATCAGTCAACTTCAGTCAAAACCCTAGTTTGTGGTCTCAGTGCTTAGGAGGTGGGCTTGTCTGATCAAACCCTTGAGAAATGTCTTGAGAAAAGAGAGGGAAAATTTTGGGGTACAACAAGGACCGACACAACCGACATCATCAGTGAATTTGGGGTTCATTACTTCAAACCTAGCATATTTCACTTGGATATCGAGTCTTGGTTGAGAACAGACACAACCGACATCATCTGTCCAAGTTCCAAATATCTGGTTTCAAGCTCGTAATATCTATCCCCTAGGTTGCAATAGATAAGCAAATACCCAGGGTTATATTATTCATCCCCTAGGTTGTGATGAATAACGTAAGCCTTCCCCTATTGTCTTTTATCCCCTAGGATGCGATAAAGGCACATGTTCATCCTCGTACTATTGACTCCCTAAGTGGTAGTATAGATGACGAAAACTGCGTAATTTATTGCATCAGTCTCCATGCAGCAATGTGCTATCAAACTTTGTTTTATTCATCCCCTAGGCTGCGATGAATAGACAAAATCTGCATCGATACACTTACTATATTAGTCTCCAAGCATTAGTAGGTCAACTTTTCAAAACTCGTATCATTTACTCCCTAGGTTGTAGTAGATGAGCAAAATCTTCAATATAACTCATTGCGTTAGTCTCGAAGCAGCAATATGTTATTCGTCTCTCTACAATGCAATTCACTGTGTTAGTATCCATGCGGCAATATGTTATCAAGCTCTTTGTTATTCATCCCCTTGGTTGCGATGAATATGCAAAATCTACGTCATTAGCTTACTATGTTAGTCTCAAAGCGTTAGTGAGTCAAATTTCAAACTGATATTGTTTACTCTGTAACTGCGATATAACTTGTTGCATCAGTCTCAATGCAGTAATAAGTTATCAATCTTTCAACTCGTGATATTTACCTCCTGGGTTATAGTAAATACGTAAAATCTACGACGATCTCTTTTTTGGGTATTGGCGAGTCATCTGTGTCGTCATATCTAGATCAATCAAAACTCTCTATTCAAACTCTGGTAGGATGATACATCATCATCTTTGCATATCTACTCTATTCAAACTTTGGTAGGATGATACATCATCTTTGCAAACTCTGAAAAGATGATATCTCATCACCTTTGCCTATTTTTCGTACTTTGGGGAACGATGTACAATGTATCCTGATAAATCTTTTGTCAAACTTTGGGGTCTTCCATTATTTAATAACCCTCTGGTTTGAATATGCGAAACTTGCACATTCTCGCACCCTTCAATCAAAGAGTAATTAAATAGGGGCATCTGTTATATCCCAAATTTGACTGTCCTTTATTTCTACGGTTAAAAATATTTTTAACATTGGTTTTATAATATTCTTTGATTTTTATAAATATTCGCTTCCAAACCTATTTAAAAATATAATAATTTATTTCAGATCATTTGTATTTTTGAATAAACAAATATTTGCTTGTCTTCATGTACTTTCAATTGGTTTTTTATTTTGAATAAGTAATATAGCATATTTGATAAAGAATTAAGCTTGCAAGTATGAGGTCACATATTCAAATCTCTTGTGTTACATTTTTTTCCTATTTTTTGTTATTGATTTTCTTTTCCTTTTTATAGATTAGGCTTTGGATTTTTTGTTCATTTTTGGGTAACTTAATTTCCAAGTTTTTAAACCTAATTTAACTCTATAAATATGACTCTTATCTATCCTAAATTTTCATCAACAATCAACAAATCAACCATTTCTCACAATACACAAATCCACCAGAAATTAACAATTTCACAGTTTCATTTTTACAAGATATTTTTGCAATTTCTTCTCAAAATTTCTACTTGAGTTTTTCTAGGCCGATAATTTCATATGAAGTCTCTCTCTTTATTCTAATTTGTTTCAATTTGTTTCAATCAAATGATGAACTTATGCATATTTCTTTTTTTAATTTACATTTTCACAACTCATAACAAATTCTGGTTAATAGTGTTCTTAGTTTTCTTTTCAATTTATTTTTGATCTAATGGTTCCTCGATGGCCCCTCTTTTTTTCAAAATATTATTTCTTAGCAAAGCTAATGAATTCACCATAAAATCTTTGTAAGACTATCTACAATGACAAAATTATTCAACACCCATTTTTTCCATTTTTTACACTCCACATCATCTTCTCTCTCTTCCATTAATAATTCAACACCCATTCAACTTTTACTCACTACAATAGTTTTGTTTAATAAAATTCAACACCTTACCCCACCACTTTTATTTCATATTTTTATTTTCTTTTTTATGTTTTTGTTTTTTGATTATATATTAATAATAATTATCAATTGAAATTAAATTAAATAATTAAGAGTTAAATAATTTATTTTAATTTATTTTAATTTAAAAACTTATTTTTAATTTTTTCTCTAATTTTATATTAGTAATTACAAAAAACTTAAAATGAAATACAATACACACAACACATAACATACAACACACTTAAAATGAAACACACATAACTTAATTAGTACAATAGACTCAACTCACAAACAATCTATTTAATCACGAAATATTTCAAACTTTACCATATATGTTTGACTAGATCTGCTTGCAATTTGTGATGTACATTTGAATCGCATATCATAGAACTAGCACGCATATGATTTGAAAATGCATGTAGCACCTCAGTCGAGAATGGCTCCGGTGTACCAGACCCACTTGCCTCAGATTGATCATAATCTGTCCAATGTTGAGAATATGTATCTCGTTCATCCTCAATAATCATATTATACAATATGATACATGACCTCATGATGAGAGCCAAATCGGCTATGTCCCACAAACAGGCTGGTTCTTCAATGATTTTAAATCGAGCCTGCAACACCCCAAATGCACGTTTGATGTCCTTCCGACATCCCTCCTGATATTTTGCAAATAACTTATATGGTTCACTTTGAGGAAGTCTAATTGATTTGATAAAAGTCGGTTAAGAAGGGTACATATCGTCAACAAGATAATATGCCATATTATACGGACGTTAATTTACAAAGAAGTTCACTCTTGGAGTTTTTTTGTTCAACATCATCAAACACGGGTGAATGATCTAGAACGTTTATATCGTTCAATATGCGCAGACATCCAAAGAAGGCATACAAAATCCATAGATCATAAGTTGCAACAGCTTCAAGAATAACAATGGTGGTTCCCTTATCTCCCAGAGCAAATTGACCTTCCCATGCTGTAGGACAATTTTTCCATTCCCAGTGCATGCAATCAATACTCCTAATCATCCCCGGGAACCCCCGCATTTCACTAACATGTAGTATTCTTTGCAGGTTATCTTGAGTTAGGGCTCTGAGATACACTGGCTCATACAATTGTATGATTCCTTTATAGAATCTATGCAAGAACTCTAATGTTGTTGTACCTCCTATTTTAATATATTCATCGACCGCATCGACCGCTATACCATATGCTAACATTCGCATGGCCGTGATACATTTTTCTAATGGAGATATACCTTCTTTTTTGGTTGCGTCAACTCTTTGGGTGAAGTATTTGTCACTTCTAGATAGTTCCCTAACAATCCTAAGGAACACATGTTTTTGCATCTGGGATCACCGACAAAACATTGCATCGTCATATGTAGGTTGGTCTGCAAAGTAGTCTTCTATTAGTCTTTGGTTTTCCGCTGCATTATCTCTATTGAGATATTTTCTCTTAACATTAAGTGTATATCCTTCCTCTATTTGGTTTCGTCGCTCCCTGAACCGGTTGACGATATACCTCTCTTCGATTTCAGACTGCCTTTTGTAAGCTTCGATATCAAAGGGAAAATTTGAAGGATCCATTGATGTTTTTTAGTAATATGAGATTTTTGGTATTGGTACATTAATGGAAGAATGAGTCTCCATTTATAAGATTATTAATATCATATTTTTGGTATTGGTACATCAATAATATATAAGAAACTAAGTGATAAAGTAGAAATCAATATCTTGATAATATAGATAATAGTAGACAAGAAACAAAATGACAAAATAAAAATCAATATCTTGATAATATAGATAATAGTATACAAGAAACTAAGTGACAAAATAGAAATTAATGTCTTGATAATATAAATAATACTCCCTTTGGTCCCATTTATAAGAAAAAGTTAACTTTTTAGATACATTAAATAAGTAATGTATTTGGACAATATATTGTCCAAATACATTACTTATTCAATGTATATAAAAAGTTAATTTTTTCTTATAAATGAGACCGGAGGGAGTAGTAGACAAGAAACAAAATGACAAAATAGAAATTAATATCTTCATAATATAGATAATAGTAGACAAGAAATTAAGTGACAAAATAGAAATCAATGTCTTGATAATATAAATAATAGTAGACAAGAAACAAAATGACAAAATAGAAATCAATATCTTGATGACATAGATAATAGTAGACAAGAAACTAAGTGACAAAATAGAAATCAATGTCTTGATAATATAAATAATAGTAGACAAGAAATAAAATGACAAAATAGAAATCAATATCTCGATAATATAGATAATAGTAGACAAGAAACTAAGTGACAAATAATGTCTTGATAATATATATAATAGTAGACAAGAAACTAAGTGACAAACGATGTCTTGATAATATAGATAATAGTAGACAAGAAACTAAGTGACAAACAATGTCTTGATAATATAGATAATAGTAGACAAGAAACAAAATAAAAATATAGAAAACAGTAGATAAGAAACAAAATACAAACAATGACTTGACAATGACTTGATAAAGACTTGATAATATAGAAAATAGTAGATAAGAAACAAAATACAAACAATGACTTAACAACATTTAATTTCCAAACAGATTGCGACCCAACTTTTCCAATAACTCTTTGCTCCGGTCATCAAGATGCTCCTTTGAACTTAGCTTCATAAACATATTCATCTTCTTAGCCTCAATACTTTATTTCAACAATTGGTTAGCTTCCTCTTGCCTCATGGCTATTTTGTCCAATCGTTACAACTCTTTCTTCTTAAACTGTTTGAATTCATTCTACTCTTCATTGACTGATTCCAAGGCTGCGCCATTGCTTTTTTTTACCCCTTTTTTTGCTACATCCCTCCCCATTGGGCGAGCACTAGATTCCATAGAGTTGGAATCACTTGGATCACTCTCATGGGCTCTCTTAGATCCACTACCTACAGATCCACTATTTCCTCCAACCTGACTACCATAACATGGTTGATCACGGAGAGCGAGTCATTCTAACATTAACATGAAATGTCCACTCTTACCACTTGAATATAATTCATGCGCTTTTGCCAATACATCATTCTCTGACCACCCACTTTTTTACATACACTTAGCGTTATCATAAGCGCTTGTCCATTTATTAAGTATTTTGTTCATGTAGTTGTAATAATTTCTACATGCAGCTCCATCACGGGGAGGATCAAATGAGCAATGCTCATTACAATAATAAGCAATTTTACCCCAATATGAATCACTTTTTTGGTTTCTCCCAACAACACTGTCTATTCCATATTTAATCCACCCACTAATTATAACCAAATTTTGATCAGTGGTCAATTTGGGGATTTTCTGACGAACAGGAGTTGAATCCTCTGCATTTGGAGTGGCTCCATGATCACCGCTCATGCCACCAAGATCCGTTTGTTTAGAAAAATCAGGAAATTTATCAAGTCTAACATTAGGAACGTTTCTTTCTTCAAGAAACGCAATCTCACATCTCCTGCCTGAGATCAAGACTCCCCTTTGTTCAAGAGGAGAAAGGACAACAGGCAGATCGACTGCGCTCGATTGCCCTCTCCCAAGCCAAAACAAAAGCGAATGAGCCTCTCCCCTCTGCGAGACCACGACGACCGACGCGGGAGAAACTACCACTCTCCTTCTCCATCTCTCGTCAATAGTGAAGATGACGAGCCCCACGGACCATTATCGAGGGAGATCACCGAAGCTCCACTTCTTACCGGCCTTGAGTAGCCGCCCACTCTAGGGACCTACGACGACACTACATACCCTAACGAGTACATAGGGAACATCAATGCCCTCCTCGACTACAGAGGGGTCAGGGGCGCCATCAAGTGCAGACTCTTCCCAACCACTCTCAGGAAGGGGGCGATGGTGTGGTACAAAAGTCTACCCGACGAATCCATCACCTCATGAAAACAACTCGGGAAGATGTTTTCAAGGCATTTCACTGCCTCCCGTCGACATCCTAAATCAGAAGCTTCGCTCGAGGCAATCATACAGGGAAGAGACAAATCTCTACGAGTGTACATTGAGCGCTTCAACAAAGAAGCGGTCCAGGTCCTGACAATAGACAACATGAAGAAATACTCGCTCGAGCGCAGGCTCCGTCCCCGCAGAGACTTTGCCAAGGTTGTGGGCATAGAAACACCAGCCACACTCGATTCCCTTCTCCTGAAGGCCCAGGCGTACATACAGTACGAGGAGAAGGAGGCAGCCAACAGCGCCCAGGAGTCCAGGCACGGGGAGAGCGCCAGACCCTCAAAGAATAATGAGCCCTCGACATCCCATCGGGGGGAGAAGAAACGGGAGGATAGGTCCCGTGATCCTAAAGACTACAAGGGGCCGGCCGATCGTTTCCACGACTACACCCCTGACAACCTCAAGAGAGCGTATTATTTCCGAATGCGCTAATTCAGAGTTCAAGCAAGTCGGGATGCGCTTTCCCTGACAAACACCATCGAAGCCAGGAACCAACAAGAGCAAGTACTGCAGGTTCTACAAGAGTCACGACCACAACACAGGATTTCATCCATCTCAAGGATGCAATCGAAATATTAATCAGAGACGGGCACCTCAAGCAGTATAAGAAAAAAGAGGCCGCCCGTGACGAAGCGGAGATAAAGAATGTCGAAGAAGGGAAGAAATCCCCCAACCTCGACACCATTTTGGTCGCCTTGAGCATCTCACGGCCGGAAAACTTCTACTTTCCGGACATGGAGGACGCCCCATGTACTTCTCCACCCACAGTCCATGGGAATCCTTCCTCGCAGCCATGGTCCTTTCCGGCAGAGGGTTTAACAGGCATACAGTCAGATAGGTGAAGAGAAGGTTCGACCAACTCATTGAGGCCAATTATGAGATGGACGCCACACTCGAAAAGTTTCTAGGAGGATCTCACCCCCTTGCATTCTACAGGGAAGAGTTACCGGGAGGAGCCCCAAATTTGAGCATCCCACTACTCGTGAGAGCTCAAATGGTTAACTTCGACGTGTGTCGCATTTTGGTCGACCAGGGCAGTTCAGTTGACATTATATACGCCCAACTGTTCAACACTCTGCAGCTGAACGAGAGCCACCTAACCCCCTACGTGGGCTCTGATCTTCAAGGTTTCAACGGGGCCAACACGAAGCCATGGGGGAACATGGAGATGATCGTCACCTTTGGGAGGAGGATAATAACCAGAGCCATCAAGACCCAATTCTTGGTGGTGAATTTCCCATATCAATGCATCTCCGAGAGACCCACTCTCGTCAAGCTCATCATGTTCCCCTCCACCGTTCATCTCAAGATGAAATACTACACAACCGGAGGTTTGGTCGCCATTCTTCACGGGGACATCCAAGCATCCAGGAGATGCTTCAAAGCTTCTATGAAGGGTGTTGTACCCCAAAATTTGCCCTCGCATTTTTCTACAATAAATCTCAGCTTCAGGCATTTCCTGATTTTTCAGATTAGCTCGAGAATCGGACAAACGGACTTTTCTTGTCAGTCAAGCAAAATTAGGGTTTTACTGGTTTTCATGGCTCTAGAACAGTTCAAACAGTTGGCTTGGGGTTTTGGTTGATTCTGGCTCAATTGGGATCAGGCGAATATTCGTTGGCATTTAATCAGGAATTAAGGTTTTATGGGCATATTCTCAGAAAGATTAAAAGTCCACAGCACTTTGCAAGTTATTCCGAAATTTGGGTTGAATTCGCATTTGTTTTGATTTAATCAGTAAAAGAGGCAGTTGGTTTGAATTCACGTTGTTTTGTTTGAGCCAGTCAAAAGAAATACGCAGTTTGGATTTACAGTGCTTGGTAAGAAATCAGTAAGAAAGGATTGCGTCTGACCAGTTATTGCGTTCCACTGTGCGTTGCTTTGGATGATGGAGGCGCCAAGTTCATTTATTTTGATCAACGAAGAATCAATGTTTAGTTGGTTATTTATTATTCTAAGGATTAAATATTTGAAATTTAACTTTCATTTTATTTAATTTAAGGAACTATAAATAACAAGTAAATAATTAAAGAAAAGGAATTGAAAAGAATTAAATGAATCAATAGAATTTTTATTTCATATTTAATATTTGTTACAATTATTATTTGGATACAAGTATTTATTTACGAAGTATTTAAAATAATAATAGTGTACAAAAATTAAATTGAAAATAAAAACTATCCTATTTTTTCTAAAACACTTTCTAAGTCCCTAATTCTTCATTCTTCACTTCGCTCCGGTGCTCCATTATTCATCTGCAAAAGAAAAAGAGAAAAGTCAAAAAGCAGTTAAATTGAAAAGACAGATAAAATTTGCAGTCATCATTAAGGGCCATTGATTGGGATCAGTTAACCCTCTCTGCAAATCACGGGATTTCTCCCGGTTCACAAAGAGGGAAGAATTTTATTCATTTAATCATGAATGCAAAATGACAAAATGCATAAATTCAAAATGTCAAACTGCATAGTTCAAGTTCAACCAAACTGAAAAATCCAAAATGCAACTTTCTGTCAAAATCCAAAAGGGACAAGTTACTGCACAAAGATATCAAAGAAGATAAAGAAGTACAATTTGCTGTCAAAAGTGCCAAAGTCTACTCAAAGCTGTCATGAAAAGGATTTGGCAAAGATATGGAAAGTTCACAAAGTACAAAAGCTGTCAAAGAGAAGATAAAGAATGCAGAAGTAAGAAATTGTTATGCAAGCAAGCTTTCTTTTTTTCATCATTTCCCAAATGCAATAGCCCTTTCAGAGAAAGTACAGAAATAAAACATTTATTAAATATTTAACTGTACTAGAAGAGAGAGAGATAAAGTAAGCAGGGAGCAGGTTTCTTAGGCTGAGAGGCATAGATAGAAAGAGATACAAAAGAGCAAAACACAGTAAGAGGGAGAGGCAGAATTTTCACCAAAGTAAAAGAGAAACCAACACAAAAAGATACAAACTGCTAAGCTTGAAGCCTAACCACAACCTGCATTAGCACAAACAGCATAAACCATAAACACCTCCAGAAAACACCTCCAAAAACTCCCACTGCATAACCTCCAACAATAACCTGCTATCAAGCACCCCAACCTACCTAAAGCAAGCCTGAAATCTTACCTGCATCATTCAAAACATATACAAACACACAACCTGCGTTGGCTAAAGACCTGAAAAAGCTGAGAGCCTTACCATTTTCAAAACCCACCTACTGTCAAAAATAAAAACTTGCATCAGCTTAACCAAAACATATACAAACACATAAACTGAACTACCAAACCTGGCCTAACCATCAAAACCTGGCCTAACCATCAAAACCTGTAAAACCATAAAAAACCTTACCTACTGTCAACACACAAACCTGCAAAGCCATGACTGCCAAGCCTAAACTGATAAAAAACACAAGCTCAAGCTCACCTCAGCAGCATTAACCAGCTATCAATTTCCAAACCCCAACACCTAAACCATTCAATCCAAGCATATACCAATCACAAACTCAGGCCCTCAGAACCCTAAGTCCTTCATTGGGCAATCAATGAATATTCCAACAGGCAAGTTCAAGGCAACAAAGGCAACTAAACCCTAAGCCTCAGAAACCCTTCATCATAGGCAGCAAACATTCAAGGCAAGCATACGGAGTTATCAGGGCAACTGTAAGAGAAGAGGAAAAGCAGTAGGCCACTCAAAGCAAGCCCAAGGCAGCACAAGTCAGAAGAAGAGGAAAAGTAACAGGCAAGCCTCAGTAAACACATCAGTGGCCAACATAAACTATCAAACTCAGGGAAGCATCAAAAGCAACAAGTATACAGTGGCATAGAAGAAGAAGAAAGAGGTGAACATCAAGAAATAGGGATTTTCAGTCAAGTCATCATCAAATCCTAAATGGGCAAAAAGTAAAGATACCATTTAAAGCTCTCATCGCGCAATCCCTTCACCTGGCCTCCGCCTCAACGCCTCCCAGTTCCGGTTCCTCTTTCTCCGTCCCCAAGGGTTAAGGTAGCTTTTCGTTCCTTTTCCTTAATTTCAATAACAAACAATAATAAGCATGTGAAATCAGAGGCGAAATCAGAAGTCAAACTAAGCATGCAAAAGAAAATTTAGTGAAAACCCTAATGCATAAAGAAGGCGAAATCGTTACCCTTTTCCGATTTGATTTGGTCCAACCATGGAGAACGAAGAAACCGGAGGTGGCGCTGGGTGGCTCGGCAATTGGGATGGAAATTGCATTCAGCGGCTAATCGGAGAAGACAAAGTGGAACGACGGCGCTTCTGTTCGCTCAAACCCTAAGCATCCAAAAAACGAAACAATATTCAAGAACCCTAAAACATTGCCATTCTGAAACTTTGGGCCTCGCCCATTCTCATGACCTAAAGCCCAATGAACTGCTTAAACGCACCCCCTCTTTCTAGCGCCACACAGACATT